ATGGCCAGGGGAACATACAAGAACAAACCTACTATGTAGTGGTACCTCCACAGAATGATGGAGCTTAACGCCAGGTAGTGTCACTGAATTTGGAAGGACATATAGATTACATCTCGAGATGAGCACCTCTTTCTGCAGAAACCCTGAGTATGTACAAAGCATATACATTCTGATAAAACGTTTAATTTTTAGCTATGAAAAAAATCAGTCTGTAATTGCAGTTTCTATGCACCAAACTGCTTACCTGTACATGTTTTCAGTAGAATTACAGAATCATAGAATCGTTAGGGTTGGAAAGGACCTTAAGATCATCTAGTTCCAACCCCTCTGCCATCGGCAGGGACACCTCACACTAAACCATCTCACCCAAGGCTCTGTCCTTGGACACTGCAAGGGATGGAGCATTCACAGCCTCCCTGGGCATCCCATTCCAGTGACTCACCACCCTAACAGGAAAAAACTTCTTCCTTATATCCAATCTAAACTGCTCCTGTTTAAGTTTTAACCCATCATCCCTTGTCCTATCACTATAGTCCCTAATGAAGAGTCCCTCCCCAGCATCCCTATAGGCCCCCTTCAGATACTGGAAGGCTGGTATGAGGTCTCCACACAGCATTCTCTTCTCCAGGCTGAACAGCCCCAACTTTCTCAGCCTGTCTTCATACAGGAGGTGCTCCAGTCCCTTCATCATCCTTGTGGCCCTCCTCTGGACTTGTTCCAACAGTTCCATGTCCTTTTTACGTTGAGGACACCAGAACTGCACACAATACTCCAGGTGAGCTCTCCTGAAGGCAGAGTAGAGGGGCAGGATCACCTCCTTTGACTTGCTGGTCACGCTCCTTTTGATGCAGCACAGGATACGGTTGGCTTTCTGGGCTGCGAGCACACACTGAAGCTGCCTCGTGTTCATTTTCTCCTTGACCAACATCCCCAAGTCCTTCTCCACAGGGCTGCTCTGAATCTCTTCTGTCCTCAGCCTGTAGCTGTGCCTGGGATTGTCTGACCCAGGTGCAGGACCTTGCACTTGGCATGGTTAAACTTCATGAGGCTGGCATCAGCCCACCTCACAAGTGTGTCAAGGTCCCTCTGGATGGCATCCCTTCCCTCCAGCGTATCAACCCAACCACACAGCTTGGTGTCATCGGCAAACTTGTTACAGGCGCACTCAATCCCACTGTCCATGTCACTGACAAAGATGTTGAACAAGACCGGTCCCAACACTGACCCCTGAGGGACACCACTCGTTACCGGTCTCCAGCTGGACATTGAGCCATTGACCACAACTCTTTGCGTGCGGCCATCCAGCCAGTTCTTTATCCACTGAGTGCTCCACCTATCTAACTGATGTCTCTCCAATTTAGAGACAAAGATGTTGTGTGGGATAGTGTCAAACGCTTTGCACAAGTCCAGGTAGATGACACCAACTGCTCTACCCCTGTCCATCAGTTCTGTAGCCCCATCATAGAAGGCCATCAAATTACTCAGGCAAGACTTCCCCTTAGTGAAGCCATGCTGGCCATGACGAGCCACCTTGTTGTTTTTCATGTGCCTTAGCATGCCTTCCAGGAGAAGCCATTCCAAGATTTTGCCAGTAATGTTGCCAATGTTGACTTTAAAAATGCACCTTGTGATTACATTAAATGTTCACAGTATTGTATGACTAAAACATCGAAGGGATCCAAACAGTACTTGCCTAATTTGGGTGGCATGTATGGCATACAAATTACATCCTTCCTTGCTTTATCCTTAAAAAGCAAACACCATGAATTATGTTAAGCCATAATTTTGACAGGTGAAAACCCTGTCAAAACCCGTAACAGTAGGACAGACAAAGCTTGTTACTTACTTACAAAAGTATCAAAGGCTGTCGTACATTCTCATGGAGTATAGCAACAGCCATCTGCAAATTCTAGAGTTTCTAAATTTGCCTCTCTTAATGAAACGTTTAAAACCTCTCAAATCCAACAGCACCACCAAGCAAACCTTGCTATGTAAAAATACTACTACTACTTCTATATCTCTATGCAGTTATAACACACTGTATCTACTACGCAAACAGCATATTGGCTTATCTTTCTTTCTTTGGACAGAAGAAAGAAAAGGCTGAAGGGGAGAAAATGCAGAAGAAATGCGGTAACATATCAATGTATGTATCAATAAACAAGCTTGAACTCTGGAGCTAAGAAACCATAGAGCATAAGTTCTGTAGATGTCTGATTGACCTATGACAGAAATCAGAGGGTTGGGGTTTTTTTTTGCTTTCTTCATGACCTTTGGATGGGGGCAGGTGAGTAAATAAGACCATCAAGATCTCCATTTACTGGGGCAAGAGTTCAAGGACAGCAAACATCAACCAAACACAAGTTTCTACAATCACACCATGTCTTGGAAAAAAATATTCCTTAATTTTTGCCCATTGCCCAAAAAGATATGTAAATCTCTAGTAGAAAGTTTCAATACAAATGGAATGAGTTCAAATAATTTCATTTTCTACTTTGTCTAAAGCATTCATTCAAGAACTTACCATATCTTAAGGGCTTTGTAGTTTTTCTTGATTATTTCAAATAACAACAGTTTCATGCCAAAATCTCCATGTACTGAGATAAAAAGATCAAGGCACCTACACCAAAACCCACTGTGCACCTGAATCATAGTCTTTATTGGTCTGCTATCATATATTTGCTATTCAGACATATATACTGGTAGCAACCCACTATAATGTGAAAATCTGAGCTGACTGTAGAGATAGAGGTGCAGTTGAAAACACACAAAGAGAGCAATCATTTAATCAATTCTTATTGTAGCCAGTTTTTCCATGTTTAAATGGACACAACACCACTGTCTTCCACTAATCAAAACCAAAACACATCATACAGAAGATACAGCCAGAAAGGAAGGAAAAGGGGATGAGCATGACATACAGGTGAGAAACACATACACAAACCATAGGTAGAGCCTTTAGCCAGGATTTTCCATCTTCAGCTACAGCAAGCAAAACAGCACCCATCAACAACAGGAAGAGGCTTAATATGAGCATACAAACCACAGGGAGTTGGCTGAGTAACTGAATAATGGTTAGAGGTGAACAACTGTCTCAGAGTACTTACGCATTTTTTCCTCCGTGGGAGCTGGAATATGATGATGCTGTAAGGCCTTCACATTTCAATGAAAACACACAGTTTTATCTAAGACCAGTCAAGCTGAAGCTGACCTGGCCCTTGGCATGATTCAGTCTAAAAGCACATCTGTACAAGCAGCAAAAATCCCAAAGGTGAAGACTAGCAGCAAAGCAATGATGAGAAAGTTAGGAGTGCAAGATCTTCCCTAGTACGTCTGCAGTCAGAAAGGGCCCTATTTCTAACTCACCTGCAGTGCCAGAGGACAAATGTGAATTAAACAGTAAATTTGTTGGAAAAAAAACAAACAAAACCCCCACAACAAAAATGCTGCACAGCGCATAGTTACACATTTTTTTCAGTGTTTCCCATGTTAAAACATCAGAAGAAAAAGGTATTTCTTATAACAAAAGTCTTAACTTTGTGGATGTGTGAAGTAAACTCCCATAGATAGTATTTCAAGGTAGCAGTGCTACCTTGCTTCAGATAACAACCCAAGCATCAACTCTTTGTGTCACTCCATGTTTTATGTGATCCTGCAGAGTCTCGGAAATTAAATGTTGAGGGGACAGAAAGCAGTAATCAGCAGGCCATCAATACAACTGTAGCCAGAAAGACTGTGGCAAACTCCTAGCACAAGTAACCTGAGCTTTTATGCTAAGTTTATGACTCCCATTTATGCTGCACTGCTAGACACATACGCACATTATTTTTAAAGTAACACAGAGTTAATTAAATAGAACTCTTTTGTACTTAAAGGAGGAACACAGGAAATGTCTTTCACAAGAACTGCCCAGTCACAAACGTGCTGTTCCTCTTGCACAGCAGCGTACTGTATTTGCTCAGGTCTTACACATATACTCTGCCTCCCCCTATACTTTGTCGCCCTCACTAGCCTACTGATTTATTTTCCATTCTATACCCCCGTGTCTCCTTTCTCTGTACAATGCACACCAGAAAATGTCAACTCTCTCATTCTGCCAAGCATATCCTATGTAATATTTACACATATAAACAAATGATATGTTACAGTAAAAGCTGTATCAGAGACATTGGCAAAAGGGAAAGAGAAGCATTTCAGTTAAACTAGGACAATACAGGCTGCATATTCAATTTTCTACAAAGTGACCTTAATCAAATGCTTTGGATTTTGCAGCATAACTAAACGAGCAGTTCTTAGTAAAGCCTGTAAAGGATGACATACCTAAGACATTTCGGTAATTGACAAAATATGCCATTTCTAAAATATTTATTAAGCATCTGAATGACATTGATATGGCTATAATTTCAGATTTATTAAAAACACAACACACACAGACTTGTTATACAAAAAGCAGACATACCCACAACTGTAAGAAATAACAGCTTACTACCAGTGGAAAAGCATAAAGTTTCACATGGCTTGTTTTCTCTTAGGCAAAGAAGTAACTTAATTCATCTAACCTAAATACACATCATCACCATGGCTAAATACAAGCAAACACAAATTCTGACCACACTGTTGTCTTACCAATAAATATTTGTCATCTTCCCTTCTCCCCACTCTCCTTCTAAACTAGTCACCATCTGCTTAATTTCAGCTGAGATGTCTGTATTTCACCTACTGCAAAATTAACATTGGGTATAAAGACAGCTCTTCAGAGGCAAGGCAAGCTTTACTGCAGGGTAATAGGAAAAATGTCTCTACATGGTTACAATAATTTGGACTTCACCATCTATTCAGAGTAAAGCAGCAAAAAAGTTCAGTCATTTCCTGACTAGCATAGCAAGTTATAGCAAAATACACATTCTATTAATTTTAAATTGCATTGCTTGCATACTGAAAAGCCCCAAAGGGAAGCGTTTCTTTCTAAAGCATAAAGAAGGGCACTGAAAACTGCTTACCTCACTCAGCTTTGCAGGGGAGTCATTTCCATATTTCATAGCAACTCCAGAATTCATGATTAGACTTCTCAGGGCTTGATGACTTCTGCAGCTTTTAATGCTTCAAAGCTTTGTTCAACTGATTCAATACTTTCTTTTCCAAAATTTTATGTCTGACACATTTTGCTCTAGACAGCCATTTATACTCCACACTGACAGTTTAAATTAACAATGCAAAATCTACTAAAAGAGCCAAATTGATTTTGACTTCACAGACAATCCATTGCTGCAAGAGACTTGCTAATATTGTGAAGTGCTCAGATAATCCAGGGAAGGAACTGCTTGCCAGGATCCCAAGGCTGTCTTAGTCCATCTCCAAGGTGTGCTTCATCTCTGCTGTTTGTTCTGTGCTGCTCTTTTCCACAGCTCTGTTTAAGAGCATTTCCCAATGCCACTAACGTACTCAGAAAAATTTGATGAGCTTCATACAAGTTCACGGAGAAATTAAAAAGAAAGTGCTGCTACAGTCTTCAATGAGGGAGAAAGAAAAAGAGAGAAAAGCTCCTCTATTTGAGATGAACCAATGCTGCACTTCACGCTAAAGTTTTCCCTGCCAGTAAGCCTGGAGTTTAAGTGGTTTATGATCAAACACAGCTGTCTTGCTGCTGGCTAAAGGGCGCATGGAAAGGGCGGTACTAAAGGAGAGTGTAAGTGGGAGGGAGACGGCTACAGAGAGTTCATTTTGGAGTTGCAGGCATCTTTCCAGCTTTCTGCATGCTAACTACTATACACAACACTATAAAGCTAAGTAAAGGAAATGGCACCTGGATAACAATAAATTTGATTGCTATTCCCATGTGCAATTAAGGAAGGAAAGTTGGGGGATTATGGGGATGGGGGTTGTAACAATTTCAAAAGGTCACAGTAAGCCCAAAAGCACCATTAGAAAGCTGCAGATTTTACATAACACACTGACATTTTACAAAGACTTTGGGGAGATGCTACAGCAGGAAGGGGAGAAAAAAAAAACATTCACTTTCAGTATTCAAGTAATAATCTAGGAAAATCCGTAACAAACTGGCTTTGTGGATATGCTGCACCCACTGCAAGAACAGACAACCTCCTTTCCCCTTCCTTTTATCCCCTAAAACAGTGACAGCCCTGTACTTCATAATGCTGGATTATGATGTACTTTTGGATTTAGATGTAGGAAATGCCATACTCTGCAGCTGAAATTTACCTGATCATCTTAATACAATGTATTATTAAAGTGCCTAGTTAGTTAAAAAAAAACAACAAAACAACTATGAGAAACAGGAATAAATACTATGCAAGCTGTGTCACAACTCTATGGGGAAAAATAACATTACAATGGGAAACAACGCTCTCCAAGACCAACATTTTGAAAATCACTTTGTGGTATTTTTTTTATTCTTGTTAATTACAGATTGACATCAGTATGCACACACAGGGATAATTCATCCAAATGACAATACAGAAAGTGCATTAAGAACAAGAACCTGTCTATTGCTCTATCATACTAAAAAGCAGTAGCACTTTTCCAGGTCCCTGTTATTCCTCCGTGCCCACCATCAGGAACTCTCCTCTGTCACAGGAGGAAAGGGGAATTACCCCATCTCTTCATAAGACTTTTTACTTTCATCCTCCATGTCCATTTTCCACCCTTTCCTTTCTGTTTTTGTGGTTTTGTTTTTTTTTTGTTTTTTCCTGTTCTCCAATTTGCTTTCTAGTAGTCTGTATTTTTGGGTTTCCCTTCCTCTTTCCATGCCCTCCTTGCATTGCCTCCATTATTCATTATTTTCCTCCTTGAGAGAATCCTCTCTGCCTGATCTTTACAATTCAGTTCTGCCGCTACATTTTTAGTGCTTCTCTGTGTGTTTTTCCCTACTCATCCGCTTTATTCCCCGCGTTTCCGTTTATCGCCCTTCACAGACCGGGAGCGGGCTGCACTGCTCTCTGCTGGCAGATGGCTGCTCTCTCAGACAGAACATATAACTGCTACGAACTGCTTCCCCTCTCCAGTGGGCAGGAAGGCGGAAGACACAGACTGCAGTATGGAACAGCATGTCCACAACAGTTTTGATCAACAGTGTTTTATACCCAGGAACATAGGTACTGTATAACGACTTACCTCATATTTCATACATGATTAAAAAAGCGGCTTCAGTTTAAGAACTTCTGCAGCTGACACAGTACATTTAAAAATATTTTACCAAGTTATGCTTTCACCAATGGGAGGGTGATAAAAGCTTTTGTATTTTGCATCATTACCCTTACCAACTTTTCTATTCCTTTGTATAATCTGTTTAGAAACTTATCTGATCTTTGTCCAATTCTGTCACATGTATCACAGGTTCACCCACACAGGGATGAGCCTCAGAATTGGTTAAGAGTAAAGTTCTATGGTTTTCCTTTTCTAAAATAAATGCCATGTTAATTATGGCCTCAATATACTGCATTTCCTCTACTATATTCCTATGTTGCCAAATACTTCCCAGATGACTATAAACAGGCATTCAGAAATTAAAAGACTTTATTTGCTTTTCCCACTCACCATTCTTGTCCATTCCTGGCAGACTAGCCATCAGACAAACCACATGATACTATGGATGCATCCCAAACATAATGGTGCAGGATGCACAAGATCTGTATACCCAGATACATGCAGTCATATACCCAGATGCTTCACAGGATTTTTTTCTACCTCCTTCGTAACTTTATGTTACTCCATACAGTAACACAGTGGAAAGAGACAGATCCTGACTGAAAACAATAGCAGAATTCATAGTTTCAGATGTGCACAAAAACGTAAGCGATACATGCAGATACTTTCAGAACAAAGTTTATTTATAACTTAAAAATAATGGTAACACACACACACAAAAGAAGAGTTACACCAAATTCTGGTGAAAAAAATTATTTTACTTTAACCCAAGTTGACTGCCATTCCAATCTCTGCACGGAGTGTTACGGGATTACACATTTCTTAGTCAGAAAGCATCAACTCTTAACTAACCTGTAAGTACTGGCACTGCTTGTTTCAATGTCTTTGTAAACTCTGAGGGCATTTCTTTATTGTGGAGGGCTAGATAAGACTAAATGTAATCATTCTTCTAAAACAGTCTTATTTTACTAACTGAATGAAAACATTACATCACAAAATTTCCAGAAAGACCTGAACAATTGTCTCCACGCAGTTCCACCATTTTCAAATACATGTAGGGGATCTAATACAGTAGCAGGATCCAAATAATTTTGTTGAAGCTGAAGTGTATTTTCCCATTGACTTGTGCCAAAGTCAGGCTTCAAAGAAAACAAAGGAAAATCTCAGGTATGCCAATTTTGGACTGCCAGGAAAAGAACAGAGTACCCTGTGATCCAGCAAGAGAGAGGTGCCGGCTGGACACAGTCTCTTCTTTTTCTGTTTGGCAGCTGACTATTCATTCTTGCTCTCCCTGACCCAGTTCCTCACCTAGAAAAGTGATGCTCCCTTTCCCTCAATCTTACGCCTATCTCTTTTTTATCCTCTACACTTAAGGAAGGGGTTGGCATGGCATGCGGATGGGAAAAGAAATCTCTTAACCTACATTTCTTGGCCCAAGAGGACACAGTCTCAGCGGACACCTCAGTGTGTACTATGATGCAAACAAAAGGAAGTTGGGCTTCCACTCAATCTCAGTGCATTCTGATCAATTACTGCATTTTATACCTCTAAAGCACTCATGATGCATACTGCTTGTAGCTAAATGCATCTGCACTGACAGATTCTTCCCAAGGTAATTTCAGAATTATCCAGTAGCAACCATTAGGGTGGCCAGTTTGCTGACTGTGGATCTAAGGACCCTATGGCCACTCTATTCCATTTGTTTACTTCTATGAAAATGTAGTAAAAGAATCATCAATATGCATTCAGGATTCACTGAGGAGTCTACCTTTTAAGTGACTAATCATTTACTAAGATTTACTAGATCATCTGGTATAAAAGGATTCTTTTTGGACAAGATGTAATTCTCTTGCCCTCCTCACCTTTGACTTCTGAAACTGCTATGGAAAATGGAAGAAGTGAGCACTGTAGTTACTTTACAAGGTTTCTCCCTCATAGTATGTGTCGTGGTTTAAACCCTAGCCAGACAGCTTGTTCACTCACTCCCAGTGAGTGGTGCCGGGCTGACAACAATCGAGCCCCCCCCCCCCCCCCCCCCTTCCCCAGGCCTCTCCCCTTCCCCACTCCCGGAGGAACAGGGAGGAGGATCGAAAGAATGCAACTCCTACGGGTTGAGACAAGAACAGTCCAGCAACCAATGTACAACACAAATCACCACCGCTACTACCAACTACAACAATGATAAGAGAAAATAACAAGGGAAGAGAATACAGTACCACCAGCCAAGAAACGAGTCCCACCTGGAAGCCCATGTCCTTCCGGGTAACTCCCAGTTACCCCCCACCCCAGGCATGACATGCTGTGGTATGGAATACCTCCTTGGCTAGCCTGGGTCAGGCGCCCCGTCTCTGCTTCCTCCCGGCTTCCCCTCCTCCCTGGCAGAGCATGAGCCTCACAAAGTCCTTGGTCAGGGTAAACATCACTTAGCAACAACCGAAAACATCGCTTTCACCAACACTGTTCCCAGGCTGGAAGTCAAAACACAGCACTGCACCAGCTACCACGAAGGAGAAACATGACTGCTACTGCTGAACCCAGGACAGTATGTCTGAGTAATTACAATACTCTATTTCTTAACAGCCACTGCAGCAGGTCTGATAATTGCCACACATGAATGTTTCTTCCTTGTTTTGACAGCTGTGGAGTGAAAAACACAACATAAAAGCAATTATCAAGTACGTATGTATCACATATTCTTCAGCATAGAGTGCACCTCTTTCTGAGGAGCAGTTTCACTCCACACACAATATGCACATTTAGCTGATCACCAGCTCCAAATGTATGAGGTAAGGCCTTCTGGGTTGGTTCCGTTTAATTAGCACTGTAATTAAAATGCAACTAATTGAAGTCCACTGAGCATTTAGTTTGTTTGCATTTGTTTCAGTATCATGTCTACAGTTAGAGCAGCACTCTGCACACTCACATACAATAAATTACACCTACAAATACTGCAAATCGACTACACACAGTTTGAATGCAACATGGTTTTGTTTTCACTCTGGCACAGAATATACTGGTGTAATTACAAGTCTAAATTTCCATGGAGAAAAGAGTAGCAAGAAGACTAAACTTGGAAGCAGAAATTCAATACAGTAGCTGGATAATGCTTCCAGAAAATTCTGTATTCAATAGCACTAATGCACTATCATTTAAAAGAGAGAGTCTGAAAAGGATGGTAAATTCTTCTTGATGCAAACTGTTCTCATTAATGCAAGTGAAGATTATATACCTAGCTTGAGAGAAAAAAAATCCAACTCATTTGAAACAATTGCAGGTAACCTTATTCTGAAGAATCAAGCACTCTCTGAAGAAAACACAAGCAAACTTCTTTCCTTCAATCACATCTAAACCAGATAACATGTCTAGAATAATGTCATTTCCAAATAGCACTTCAATCAGCTACTCTCACCTGTTCACCATTCCTCAAATACTTAATCCACTTAAAAAGTCACACCCTTGACCTGATTAGTCTCATTGGGAGTTCACATTTGACCTCTTTTTCCATCCTCCAGTATTTCATGCCATGAAGCTATTCACCAACCTGTCAAACAGCCACTTCCACTTTGTCATTTTAGTAAAACCCATACATTTTGATTCCCTCTGACCCCACCTGAGCCTTAGCATCAGGTCAGGACAGGAGAATGATCAGGGAGGCAATATGTGCTTGTTACTCACTTTAGAGACTTGTCTGTGACAACAAAAGGGGAGACAGTAGCAATTAGTATGCTCCTTTCATGTTGCAGCCACCTAATTATCATCGATGTTCATTTGTTCCTTGCTTAAAAACACAAACAAGGCCATTCTGTAAAACACAGTTCTTGCCATCATACTTCTGCTCAACTTCCCTTCATT